ATCCATGTTTCTGGTCTGTGATGGCCTGATAGTCATCTTAATAATGTTTATAGAAATCTAGGATGTCAGAGTTGGAAAGGATCTTAAAAGCATTTGGGCAAGTAGTTTCCAAATGCCAATGAATAAAGTGGCTATATTATGGGGACTTAAAAAATACTCAGGCCCTTCCTTGGAGATTTTGATTCTGTGAAGTTCAGAAATGGGTTTTGGAATCTATATGTCTTTAAAACTTTGCAAGGGCCGGCCAAGTGGATCAGTTGGTTAAGAGCTCGCTCAAGAGTTTGAGCTCTGAGCAACAGCGGTTCGATTCCCAGCCCAAGCTGAGCAGCCACTGAGCTGCCAACAGGTAGCAGGATGGCTCAGCTTAAAAAAAACCAAAAACTTTGCAAATAATTCTGATGCACAGTCTAGGTTGTTGAATGCCAAAGATGTTAAAACTTGATGAAATTTTGGGCCAGTTTGACACCCAAACTTCCTGGTTTAAGATTCTAAAACTCCATCCTTTTTACCATGACCTATTTCTAGTAGAAGGGCCATCTGTGCATAGGTTTAGATTTTGAGATTTTCTTGAGCATGGCAGGATCATTGAATAGAATTTAGCCAGCCAGACAATACTGTTTGTTATTCTCTCCTTAATGACTTGCTTTACACAATACCCAACAGATTTCTTTTGCCCGGGTTCCTTCTGCATTCTCTCTACTTGCACAGACTTGTTCTTTCCAACGTTGTATATAAAATCATTCCTTTGTAGTTCATCTGCTATCACTGAAATTTATTGAATTTTGACTGTTCCCTGTAATTCCAGGCTTCTTGGTAATGTCAATGTTAGAGCTAGAAGGGGTCTTAAGTATTAATTAACACGAGTTCCTCATTGTACAGATGATTGAACACTTTTCCAAGGCCACAGGGCTAGCAAATCATAATCAGGATCAGAATCTAGTGTGTTGATTCCAATTTAACTCAAGTTAGTCTTACACTAAACACCACACATAAGCTAACATCTTTCTTGTTCCCCATCCATTTAAGCACCCACTTCTTCTTATTTTTCAGTATCTGTTCTCTCTATATCATTATAGCTGATTCTCTTTCTATTTGTCCTGGATTTTATTTTTTACTACACAATAACTTCTGTTACTTTACATATTACCTAATATGTGTTCTCAGGAAACACTGTATATCTGATAATGTTATCTCTTTCCTTTATTTACCCTTTTAATAGCAGACTTTATTTAGTAGGCCAGTCAAATTCCCATCATGCCATATTTTGAAGATTTGTTTTGAAGACTAGAGTTTGTGAAAACATTTTTATCACAAATAGTTCTATTTCATAGTATGGTTTCAGGGTCAANAGGGGTATAATATCCAGTACTCCTGGAGAATATCAATTTTGGAGTTTTTGGAGTATGGATTTAATTGGCAAAATTCTAGATAGATATTTTCAACATTATACACCATTTAAAAAATTTCATTCGTTATCTTGACAAGTACCTATGGAAATATAGCAGTGTATAAAATATGTCACTTTCCATTCATCTAATGATTTCTTCTTTGTCTCAATTGCATTGTAATTATTAGCCTCTTATCAACAGTTTTAGCACTTTTTTAAAATAAGGATTCAAGTAATGAACAAATTATGATAAAGACAGGCCTGACAATGCTACAGACACAGAACTGTTGGCTATCCATCAGTAGTACCATAAAGGAATTCAAACTATTTATTGGTTATCTCATACATGAGAACCCAAAGTTACGGTGGATTAAAGATATCATAATGTAAAAAAAGCACAGTTTTAATTATAAAATACATAAAGTTGAGGTGATCCTATACACATTTTTGAAGTTCAAAATGTCATTTCAAATCTGAATTTTTTAGTGAGGTGATGTCTAAATAACTGATTAACTATCTGGAAAAAAAATGTTAGTTCCTTTCATATTACACCAAATTAATTACACAGAGCTTAAATATAAAAAAAATTCATATGAAAACAAAGAAATGCTAGACAAATATTTACTTAATTCTAGAACAGAGAGGCCTAAGAATGTAAGTAAAGTTAGGAGACAAAAAAAAGGAAAAAACAAAAACGAAAAAAAAGAAGAGTGGATGGATTAAAGTACATGTAAATCAAATGCTCCTATATTAAAATAAAAGCACAGAAAAAATTGAAAGGCAAAGGGAGAGAAAAAATACATTTACAACATATGACACCAAATAGCTAATATAGAAAAATATATTTTAAGTGCTTAAAAGTCAGTAAAATAACAGATGACCAGACTTATAGGAAAGAGGAAAAAAGAAAAGAATTTCAAAAAGGAGAGCAAATTGTCAAAACACACAAAAATTGTTCCATCTCACTAGGAATCAAAATTGTAAAATAAAACAATTAGATACCACATTGCCTACTTCAAAATCATTTTGTACTAAATATGCATTTCCCAGTGTTTCACAAAATATTTGACTTGGAATGTGTTTGGGAAAAGGCAAACTACATAGAACAAAATCATCATCAAAATAATTGTTTGTGCATCTATTTGAACTTCACATTTCCAATTCTGATAATTAACAGTTAGAATCATAATTATAAAGTGTAGCAGACTTGGGTACTAAATAATGGTCATATATAACAGTACTAAAGTATAGAATAACTGAAATGACAGAAATCACTTAAATAATATTAGTATATATACAGAAAAACATCTAGCAAGATATATTCCAAAATATTTCCACAAGTTAACTCTGGTCATGAGGTTGCTTTTTCTTTTCTTTATGCTTATTACTATTTCTTAATTTTTCTATGAATATGACCAGGGTAATTTTCCTCTACCAAAATATTCACACAAATTTCAAGAATTAATTTACAGGCCATGAGCTAGCTGTACAGACACACTTACTCTCCCAGAAAAACAATCTCGGTGTCGATTTCCCCTGACTTATGGCGGAGAAAATTCCGTAGGAAAGCAGTCACACTGTCAACAGTGATGTTTCCACAGACCACAATGAACCTAGGAGCAAGAACATGGGAGGTGGATCATCTGAGGAACAGAAGCATCTTCCTGTCTAGATTTAGAGATGGGCAATTAGCTTAAACTTGGTTTTAAATAAATTTGGTATTTGAATCACCCGGATTTTAAAAATAGAAACACTCAGGACTATATCTCCATTATAAAGAAGAAGTATCAGAATTCTGTACATACATCTCCCAGAGGGTATGGCTCCACACATTTGAACCACACATAACTTTTTAAGAATACAACAATAACTATCATAATTGCTAGGTTTTTCATAGTGATTTATCACTTATAATGGACTTGCACACGTGTGAGTTGACTTGGTTTTCCACTGGATTCCTGATTGGCTGATCTAGTTTTTTTCACTGAGGAGCAACTGAGGCTCAGAATGTTTCCCTGACTTTCCCTTAGTCAAATGCTATGGCTGAGGTAGCACTAGATTCTAGGTTATTTCGGTTTAACTTCTGCATCTAAAATTAAGTAGTAGTCCCAAAAAAGTAAGTCCAAGACAGGTGCAAAAATTTCAGCATGTAACTTTTGTGGCAAAAAAATAGCTATAAATTTTCTTAGGTTTTATATATGAAGAAGCTATTTTTTCCTCCATTCGTCATTTCCTCCAGTCAGAAAATTGAAAGCATAGTTTTAGCCTAAGTTTACCTTAAAATTTCCAGACCTTATTGGCTGATTTAGCATGTGTCACATATCTCTTTCCTGAAATAAATCAGATCAGACTTTGGCTTATCTAGTTTATTTTATTATTTTCATTCATTTCAATGTTATTATTTTTGCCCTTCATGTTCCTCAGTTAATTTTNTGCCTGATGGTCATTTCTATTTATCCGTATATGATATCGCCTCCTATTCACAGAAGGAATTACAGAATTCTGTGTGTTTCAGTTAGCATTTTGCTGGCCAGAGCATCTTTCACCTCCTTTGCTTTTTTTTAATAGCACCGGAAAAGAAATCAGAAAATATGTAAAAATTCTTTGAATTTATTGAACAAAGGAAATAAAGTGTGAAGAGACACCAAGAGGGAAATTGAATGTAAGAAGGTAAATGTGGATACATAATTAAATGGAGAAAAAGGTCAAGATCTGGAGGGGTTTTGAACAATAGGATACCAGGCCCATCTGAGGGTTAGAACACCTTCCCTAGAGCATTTCATGGGAATGGAATTTCAAAGACCATACTTTGTGCTACATTAATTCATCCCAACAGTCCCTTTTAGCTGCTTATTTTGTCTCAGACAAACATCACAGGACCTGATGTGGGAGACTGTGAGTAGATACCCAACAACCAGGCACAGGGCTTTGTGGTAAGAGCATAGATCAGACAATTCTAGCTACTCTACTCCCTTATTGCACAACCAAGTTAGTGTCACTGACCCATTACTGGCATACTACCTTGAAATATTACTGAAGAGAAACATAATGTATTTAAAGTGTAAAACATAGTAAGCACTCAATATGTGGTCACTATTATTATTACTACATGGAATGTCCCAAAAATAACCTGGAAAACAAGATTTTAATTATTATTTGTATTATTATTTTTGTTTTGATGAACATAAAAATATTTTTGATGAATATATTTACTATGTCAATTATTTTTTTATTTAATTTCTATTTAAATTTATGACTTCTCCAGTAATAATGTAACCTTTAATTATATTTCTACTTCCAATAACTCAAAGTGATTCTACAGTTATGAATATATTTACATTCATAACATTGCAGAGCATGTAGGAAGCAGGGTTATGATTTCTATTTTGTAGATAAATATTGTTAGGCAAAAATAAGATAAATCACTTTTTCAAGATCAATGTAGTACCTGGGAATTCAATCTAGATCTCTCAATCCTTTCCCAGCTCAAGCAGAAGTCAAATCTTACTTCCTGGGGTGTTCTTCCTTTCCTCAATTTTTATATCTATTTATGATCCTAATATGTGAGAACACGAGAATAGAGCCAAGATTCAACATCAGTTTACAAGGTTACCTTTTTGTTTTCCTCAACAAATAGAGATGTGAGAAAGGTACACAAGCCTGGTACCAAACAGCCTTGGGCGATAAATCCAAGCTTTAATTCAGCAAAGCAGATGATGTTGTCTCCAGTAGTCCAGCTCCAGTTAGGAATCTTTGGCAGAAAAACCTGTTTTATGGTAGAAAGTAGGTCAAACATTAGGAATAAATATAATTTGAGAAAGTTCTTTCTGGATGGATATCTTCATTTTACTTTAAAGAATTTATTGTACTCATGTCAGCAGAAGTAATAAGAACAAATTCAACCTTTACAAGTGGCTAGTGGTCAACTGCCCCACTTTTTAAAACAAAAGCAGCTAGAGTTGCAAAATCAGGTCAAATGGCTTAAACCTCTGATTCTGCTCTAAATTTACAATCTTTTATTGTTTATTTGTTTTTTTTTGTTTTTTATTGAGGTATAATTGATATATAATATTACATTAGTTTCAGGTATACAACATAATGATTCAATATTTGTATACATTGCAAGATGATCACCACAATAAGTCTAGTTACCATTCATCACCATAATAGCTGTAAAATTTTTTTCCTGTGATGAAAACTTTAGAGATTTACTCACTTAACAACTTCCAAATATACAATAAAGTATTATTAACTTTAGACACCATGTTGTATATTACACCCCATGGTTTATTTATTTTCAACAGGAAGTTTGTACCTTTTCA